GACAGTATTCTGGCGTTACCTTGAATTACCAGATGGTCGCCGTCCAAACTACTAACCTGGCTCGACACTGCTTAACTTTAGTTATAGCAGTGGAGTTTAAGCAGGTGAGCTACTGTCCCTCTATAGGTTTCATACATAATATAATTCATATTGATAGTATTTTTAAATTTAAGTGACTAATAAAAATTATTTAAAATTATTTTACAGTTTAGACAAGTTGAATTTCATAAATTTATGAATAAATACTTATGATTTTTGCGCAAATCCATGCTTTTTGATGATTTTGGACCAAATATGCAGTTATATGCATTTATGCGCCAAATATGCATTTATATGCAAAATAAAAGTTCGCCAAATCACCCCTTATTATGTGATTCGTTTGCCCCCAAAGTCCCAAACATATATAACTAACCGGTAAAAACATGCATTTGCACGATATGAAAGGCTTTACTAATAACTTTACAGAACTTTTATACAGAAATAATTTTCTTCAAAGTGTATTAACATTAGAGCGAGAAATATATTCTGAGAGACAATTACCGCAAAAACATTAGAAACATATCATTAAAATTTTTTACTCTTCTCTTCACTCGCATTACTGCCCAAAAAAGTTATGAAAATAGTTTGTTATAAAAGGCTTAAGACTGTATTGAAAAGCGTTGCCGAAGAGAGTGTGAGTGAGTGAGAGAGTGAGGCATTAAGGAGTAAATCAATGCACGAGTGAAGCGAAAGAGAGAAGAAAAAAGTATAAAAGTAGTTATAAAAGATATAAAAAGGTGATCTGCCTATGGATAGGCACTGATAGCACTACACTATATGCTGTGCTCTACACCTGCCTAATGCTCACAGCGTTGGGCTAACAGTGCAAACACTGCTAAACACAACCAAAGAGTTTTCCATTCAAACTAATCACTGAACTGACAACTCAAGTGTTTGGACAGCCCATGATTTTATGCATTGTCCTATTAAACTGACGGCTCTTATCATCAAATTGAATAAATATATACATCTATACGGAGAGAGAGTTGTGTTTAGCAGTGTTTGCACTGTTAGCCCAACGCTGTGAGCATTAGGCATCAAGAGCACCACCACTTTTAAGCCTTTCCTATTTTCAATGTTAATTAGAACTCTTCTCAATGTATATTAAGCCACGAGAGAGAGAGAGAGAGAGAGAGATTGGGAGAGAATCTTCAAGGAGAAACATTTTTATGATAAAAGAGTTTTACATAACACCACATATTTGTTAACAAAGATATTGCTAACTATTTAAACCTTAATGAGGAATAACTACTGTTTAAAAAAATTTTTTCCCAAAACCCATAATTCTTCGTTAATTCTTATCTCAATAGACTGTTCAATATTTATAAAGCAAAATACAAATCAAAATAGTCTTTGAAAAAATGCTGTTTACTTTTGCAATAATTTTAAAAATAATTTTCTCTTTAAAAAATGAAAACAAAATTTAGTGTTAACTTATATTTTGGATGCATTTTAATAGTTAATTATCTGCAAAAGAGTAGGCATTCAATCGCTATATTATTATTGTGAACGCTATTAAAGCCCAACACAGGATTGTGAGGCGGAATACACCTAAACGAGTATTTCAAGAGCACCACCACTTTTAAGCCTTTCCTATTTTCAATGTTAATTAGAACTCTTCTCAATGTATATTAAGCCACGAGAGAGAGAGAGAGAGAGAGAGAGAGAGAGAGAGAGAGCCAACAAACCATCCCTGCCATAAGACAATTCAGTGCAGTCTTTAAAAAATTTGGGCTCAGGTTTAGGTTTAATATCCTTTGCACTCGTCGTTCAGTGTTTGGCCACAAGAAATAAAATATTCAACACATCTTAGGCTATGAAGTGAAGACATGCTCTCAATTAAACTCTAAACTTAAACTCACAGTACATTTGCATCAATTTAAGAGGCAATGAATTATTTATTGAAACATCAATTTTTTGCCCAAAAAATTCTGTCAATAATACGAAAGAAACAAAAATCTCATTTTTTACTGACAGATATTTTATTCGTATTATCAATATATGGATAAAATGAGAATTCCTTTTATTTATGATAATATTATTTAGTAGTAATAAAAGTTTAGATAAAATTTATAATTTGTTTCATGAGATTAAATGCTATGAAAAGGTATAACGATATAAAAGTAAAGACATTAACGTAATTAAAATTCTTGTCAAAACACAGCGAATTGAAACCTCTCTTCCCATATCTTCTTATTATTATTTATTATAAATCTTATTATTTATAAAATTTAATTGATTTATTGATTGATTACAATATAATATATCACTAAATAGAAAGTGGGAAACCTTTAAATTAATATTTATTCATATTATTTTTACTAATATTAAATGCAAATTAATTTTTCAAAACACATTTGTGTTTGGATTTCAATGACTATAAATACCTGTATCAGGAGATCAGGTGAGGGGTAATGCCCACAGACCTCATGCCATAGGGCCAAACACAACAAGTGTAGGCTATAATCCCAAGTATCAAATCATTATCGCTGACAATACTTAAAGTTAATAAGTTTTTGTGTACAAAAAAAGAGTCGTAAAATTGTGAGACCGGGGGTATAGAAGGTTATGCTGTCAGTCAACGCGAACACACATCTAAGCCCACTGTCATCTCATTGCATAACAACACCTTTGAAAGCAAATATCAAATGCTTTCACTCTTGTTATGCAACACTATTTTAGTTATAAAATAACAGATTCTTTGAAATAAATCAATAGTATATTTTCAGCACAAAACAAAGCACAGCATTTAATATACGATAGAAATATAAGCTTTTTATTTAATTGATTACCTGAACGTTTACGTCAAATGGCTTTTATATAGCGATCTATTGTTAATAAAATGTAAATAAAAGTAAATTAAATTAATTGAAAATATAAACGTTTTACGAGACAAACCTTTTTTCACTAAATGGTTGGAATTAGAAGATTATAATTGTGTTGAATATAATATTCATTACTTCATAATAAGTTTTAACATATAACGTGAATAAACACAAAATAAAAGTTTGAGAAAAAACAAAAATTTATGCCATAAATGACATTGAATTACAATTTAGTTATCAAACCATTCAATGCTATAAGTGGTTAATAAATGCCAAGAAGTTTTCGAAACCAAAATCTTATAAATATATTATTCTTTAAGTATTTACTAATGTTTTCATAACTTATTCAATAGTAATAATAAAAAACAAGTAATCCTCAAGTATTAATAGGAATGCATTCAAAAACTATTTGTGAATTTTCAGTTACTATTGAGGTATTTGTGTCTTTGGTTACAAAAATAATGCTATGATTTGAAAGCGATTTAGAGATGATTTGAGAAAATAGTGATGAATCATATGATAACTAACGATATATCGTAAGAAGTGATATATCATTAAATCATAAGTTGTTGTTTCACTTAAAGTATTTGTATTCTCGCAACAAAAAGTCAAACATCAAAATGACTTTGAATTGAATGCAAATCATTATTTAGCATAAAATAAAATTCACAGTAAATACTATAATTATTGTATTCAATAACATTGTTTTTACAAAATGCCAATCAATCAAACGCCGGGACAAAAGGCATACGAATAGCTTAAACAACAAAATATGATATTCAATAAAGAAAATCACATTAAAATAGAAATAAATAAAATAAAATTAGAAAACACGGGGTATTTTTATCCCTCACAATGACTTAATTTTTTGAAAAACAACTCTTTATGATAAAAAAGCACTTTAACCTACATTTTGATTCATATCTATTAAAAACATATGTAATTAATATTCAGAGAACTAAAACAAAAGCATTGAATGCAGAAAATTGTTTGGCACTTCTTATTGGTGTCGATTTGAAGTCTGTTTGTCATTGAATTACAATTAATTGCTTATTAATAATTGGGATAAAAAAATTACAAGCAATAAAATGGCTTTTTATGGTAATTAATAGTTGGAGCGAATAAACGAGTGGGGACAATTGATTATCATAAATAGGAGCATAGCATACACTATATAGATAGTGAAATAAAAAAGTAGCCGGGCACTATTTTTATCGATATCTATCGCGTGGGCGCTTATGTGCGTCAAGTAATTCATAGCCCAGTTGTCCACTAAATTAATGGTTAGATAATAATGTTATGCCTTTCAGCCCACGGATCAACTCATATGATGTGTACACCTGTTTAATGGCTTTTCTCCACCAAAAAAACTATATATTCAATGATTAAATCAACAAATTTTATGAATACTTTAAAAAACTTTTCACAGGAATGAGAGAAAAGTGTTTGAATGGAAGAAAATATAAATTGAAAACTTTAGGCAACAATATATGCGGGCATTAGATGTCAGGCCATCTGTTTTTGTACAGCATTTCACACAACGAGTGCTGAAAAGGCAATGGTTTGCAAACATTGCATAAGTTTTCGCATAACATTCACAACAGTTTGTTGTCTAGTTTTTGGGATCAAAGCCTTTGATATCAACACAAACACAGATTAGAGGAGACAAACAAAACACAGCCGAAGACATGTCGCGCCAGAAGAAGGTCTCGGCGGTGGACACGAGCGTCAAACAGGAGGATGTGATACAAGCGGTGATATTGGCCGACAGTTTTACCTCGCGTTTCGCTCCCATCACTCAATTCAAGCCACGGGTTTGTTGTCCAACGAGTGGTGCTATCAATCACTTGAGTCCATACACTAACACACTATACATACGTGTCTTTTGATGTCTTAGGTTTTGCTGCCATTAGTGAATCGACCGCTTCTTGAATACACTCTCGAGTTCTTAAGTAACGCCGGAATCGACGAGACGTTTATATTTAGTTGTTCTCATTGGCAACAAATCAAAGAATTCATAGCGTATGCACACATGACATACACACCCATCCCTTCCCATCACATCCCGTGCCAATCACCTCTTTCTTTGGCACCCGCGCCACTCTCTCTCTCTCTCTCTCTCTCTCTCTCTCTCTCTCTGCACTAGTTTTTTATGATTTGCACATATAATGTGATTATATAATCGGTATATCATTTATGACAGCGAATCCCCATTCTTGAGGACCAATAACTCAATGTCTGTCAGAGTGTTCGCCGGCGAGTCGTTTCAGTCGATGGGCGACGCGTTGCGCGAATTGGACTCAAAGGCGATCATTAAATCGGATTTCATACTAATTAATGGCGATTCCATCGGAAATTTGCCACTAAAAGAGATGAGAGCTCAACATAAGTATGTCCTCACGTTTTGTTGGCTTCGTTTCAATTGTCGTTACAATTGTTTTATTGTTTTGAAAACAACAGAATTAATCGTCTCAGAGATAAGGGTTGTATTATGACGACTGTCTTCAGACGCGCTAAACCTAATCATAGGATCAGATCAAGTGAAGACGAGTTCGTAACAGTCGTTGACTCCGACAGCCATAAGATATTGCATTTCGAGAGGATTATGAATAATCGCAGACTTGAGATACCATTGGTTTGCATACAATCAAACAATACCTCAAACACATGTTTAGTTACACAATATTTCCGTAATTTAGAGTAAATTTCAAGACAATGCGAGCGTTGATATTCATCACGACTTACAGGACACGCATATAAGCATTTGTTCCGTTAGTGTTCCGCCACTTTTCACTGATAATTTTGATTACGAAACCAGAGACCACTTTATCGATGGTATTATAGTCCACGAAGAGGTGTTTAATAGCTTAAAATAATTAGATTTTATTGATTTTTAACTCATGTCTGTGTTTGGGATTAATTTTTCGTGCAGTTATTGGGACATTCAATTTACGCACATATAGTGGACACCGGGTACTGCGCCCGCGTTAACAACATATCCAGCTATGACCGCATCTGTAAAGATATATTACAGCGTTTTACGCACCCGACCGTACCTGAGATGCAAACTAGTTGTACATATCAGAGACACAACATTTACAAGAAAACAGGCGTTCATTTGGAAGTGTAAGCATTTTTTAGGAGCATTTGTTTATATTTATTTAACATTACTTTTGGTTAATTTGATGACAATTAGTGACACGAAAATTAAAGAAAATGTTGCGATTGGAACCGATTCTTCATTTGGTAGCAAAACGTTTATAACTAACAGCACTGTTGGCTCTAATTGTCGGATTGGCAACAATGTTACGATAGAAGACACTTATATTTGGGATAATGTGGTCATTGAAGACAACTGTGTCCTCAAACAGTGCATTATCGCAGATAATGTGCACTTGAAGTCAAATGTGACCATAAAAGGCGGTTCCCTTATATCATATAACGTCGTTTTGGGACCAAATATTACGCTCAAGAAGTTTTCGCACATATTTTACGATACGGACAAAAAAGGTGTTAAATTTGATACAAGTATTGTTGGAAACGAAGGCAAAGGAGTTGTTTATATTGCGGACAAAGACGACGAGTCCGAAGAGGAAGAAGCCGTCTTTGAAGAGATTTGGGGCGAAAGTGATGACGAGAACGAAGACGAAGACGAAGACAAGTGGACGACTTCGACCACATTCTCTGATAACAACACGTCTGACAACGAACTCATTGACACTGATTTGGTTGACGACACAAAAGGTGAGTGTTATTTATTTGCGACAATTGTTACGCATAAGTGTCTAATGAATTGCTGTTTACGACAGTGTTTTTCGACGAAGTGGTCGATAGTCTTCAACGGGGTATAAAAGAGAGGGTCGACTGCGATAATCTGATTCTTGAGATTAATTCATCGAAGTATAGTCTAAACCAATGTTT